CATGATATTAACAATTTATATATCCATCAAATTATTGATTAATACAAATCTGACTTTTGATCAGCGCAAATAAAACAGTGAAAAGTCAGAGTACTTCAGATATTATCAGAATAGGAATTTGTGGAGATTATAGTAATTTTAATATTTGAATTCACGAGTCGATCTAAGCTAGACCACTACTGAAAACCTGGAAACACTGAACGGCCGTTTCGTCCTAGTATGGGAGTTATCATTAGTGCGTATCCACGATCCAGCATACAGGACTCAAACCGAAGACCTCCAGTCTCGTGCCCGAATTCTTAACCCCTAGACGATTGTCTGAGATGGATAACTGTCTCCACCCGACACGGATTGGACTCCACTGGTCACGGATAGTCATAGACGACGGGTTGTGCAAGATCATAGGTCAATTGAAGTTAGACATTAAAATCTTTGGATGCTGGCTCATTGCTCTAGGGCGTAAAACCGAAATTCTTGTCTTACAATCTGACGTGTGGGATCGTGGATGCAATACATACAATATTCTCCATGGCCACTATGTATAGCTATTTCATAAGCGGTGATGGGTAAGAGGTATATGCTAGAAAAGGTACTTATATCAGGTATAAAAACCACTTATAATTTCGACACACAAAGAGAGGGTTATTAAAAAAAGAAAATCTTGAACATTCTACTGGTTAAGGGGTCAAACACGAACTGACGCCAGGCTACAGGTCGTTTTTACTAAGAAAATAGATCGACTAGAGACACCATTCAATGGAGCAGTTACCGCTAAACTTGTAAAAATGGAGTTAGAAATAACTCAAGAAGGTAATGTTCTTATATCCGAACGAAGAACTATTCATGAAATATTACTGGATAATTATTAAGTAACTAGATTACATATGTATTCCCATTCCTTTTATCGTAGGCTTTTATTTGACCTATTGGCCGCTGCTATACGATTTATCATCATTAATTATCCCCAATTTGTCAGTTACAGTATCCCACACTCACGGCCACTTTTGGCTTGACCTTGAATAATTATTATTTCTCATTTTATGGTGTGATGCGGTCTGGTCTGATTGTATATAAGCCACGTGTCTGAAATTTACTATTTATATAGCCTAAGCCTAGTACTTGTGTTCTGGACTGAACGACTTGGACTAGGCGAGAAGCTGCTTTGCAGAGGACCAATAAAGATTCAGAGTTGACTCAAGGCTCCTAGTGTTGGTTGGCACGTCATTAGTTTAACACAGGGATAATGTCATAGAAGTCGGTATTCTGATTAGCAATTTTGTCACGTGATAGTTGACGAGTCAAAGGACATAACAGATGTATTGGAAAATCTGATATTTTTCGGAGATTAAATAACAATTTCCCAAAAAAGTATTTATTTGAATCTCTATTCCAAATACACACAATTTAATCTGGTCCCCTGAAACCTGTATGTTTAATAAGGGATTACAAAGAATAACTCAAAATTTTCTGTAAAACCCCTTTTACTTAACGCTGTATCATCGTCAGTCGGAGCTTAAGTTTTCTTCATTTTATCAATTATTAGGGACTGGTTTTAACTATTTTTAAAAAAAAAAGGAAATTAGAGCATACTTCTGTTACGGATCATTCTTTTGAATCGTATAGTCGACATCACTAGTCATAAATAAGATTCATAACAATAAGACAATCCAAGTTATGAATTTTTCTAAGTATCGTTAACTTAGTTCTAAAATGATAGACTTTAAAAAAAAATTAATAAAAAGTTTGACTGTACTGTTTGGAGAATGCTGGTAGGTGGCCTATGCTCCATTAGGAGTAACAGGCGTAAGTAAGTAAGTTGACTGTACTATTCATTTTACCACTATTAATGAGATTCGGTGTATTACAAGCATTGTTTACTTGAATATTAAATCATACATAATATTAGTAGAAAGAGCTGATAATGTAGTAAAATCATTAAGATAATATTAATTAACTTCTACAAACATTTATGTAGAATAGTGTATCGTGACAATTTCTTAAGCAGTGTGATCTATTTATATTATATGTGAACATAACTATAGTAAGCTTATATAACCGATTACAATGATTTTATGACAATGATAATTATTAATGAATTAAATATTAGAGCAGTAAAATTATCAGTTAGCATATTTGCTAGAATGAATTTCATCCAAATAGAAATAGGGATTCATTAAGAATAAAATGTAATAATGAATGACTTAGGATATTGTTTAAAAAAAAATTCCTATTTACTATATTGTATTTTATGTTGAACACTAATCTTATAGTGAAAAATCTTGTTTCTCAATGTAGATCTCACAACAACTACAACAACAACAACAACAAAAACATGGTAATTTGTTTGGAATGTATATCAACATTTTGAATGTCAATCTTATGTTTATGATCTTTCCTCATGAAACTTTACACTAATGATATTGTTAATATTAATTTGATCCCGAGAACAGGGATAAGTCGGCAAAGACCTAGAATCTATTAATACATAGTTACACAAACATACAAAAATACCTTTCCTATACACTACTTGATTAATCGCATACTATTTTTAAGTTATGATGAATGTTTTAAATACTTCGCTCATCGTGCTATTTAGATATCTTTGGTTTGTTCCGGGTTGAAGTAATGAGCACACATCTTTTGAAGTGTCTGATACAGGTTCCCAGTGCTATTTTAAATCCCAATTAAAAATCACTCAGTGAAAAGAACTAACTTCATTTTTAACAGTTGTAGAATGATTAGTCAAATATTCATATATCTTAACTCAACTTCCTACATGGTAATAATAAATTCAAATGAATCAGACTTTCAAATTATTCGTAAACACACCGAGTTTAGACCGATAGTTAGATTGAAGACCGATTTACAAGGAATCAAACAGTCAGTCATACGCGAGTTGGAAACACTCATACGTTGGAAATAATCATGTCATTTGTGAAAAAACTTAATTCTCATTTATTTGTATTCTAGTTAGTCAGTTATACGGAAAGTAGAACCTAGCACATTTCTACATTGGTTCAAATTGCTACACCACTTACGCACAGAGAGATTCCACAGTAGTAGAAGTAGTAACAATATTGGTAGTAGTAGAAAACACTAGATACAAAAGATATAATTCGAAAAAAAATATGGATTCATGAAATAAGAATCATATTTCAGGCTAATCAAAAAAATTGATATTTAAGGGAAGAAAAAGATTGGATGCATCTGAACCACATATTTCAAGTACTTTAACCATTGCTCACAATAATCGCGCTAACTTCGACCACGTAGTTTACGCCTACCTACAACACCTAGTCTAACAGTCAATAACCTCATGAATTGATACCACGTCTTGGTCTGGAGATCGCTACCTTTCTTCTAACGTAATTCTACACTATTCATTATAGTGTATGAAGGTACCTGTTGGTCGGGGATAGATAGCACATGTCTCCACTACCTTAGTTACTGAAGATTCACTTACTCATCAATCGAGTTACCATCCTTACTTAGTTCCTTGCGTCTAAAATCAGAATTGTTTTATCTATAATCCCAATATACATGAGCCATAACTTAAAGGTATTTATGATCAAATACTAGTAACCTGAAACCAACCTGACATTTCCAGGTTTGTTCTTCACGAGCCGTAGATGACCGTTGGATGGTGATTGAAGTTAATACTTTAGATATTACACTGATCAGACCGATTGCTCTGTGGCTGTTACACAGACTTCTATACTTTCTTATGAACTTGGACGACCAGCAATCTTGATATCAGATGCAGTTACGACTAGATCCAATACCAGCTAATATCTCAGTCAAACTACAAACTGAAACTGCACCATCCTTAAAGATCTCTGGGGCTAACCTATCATGAACAATAGCTCTAACGCAATTTAGATTAGTCACTGAGGGTATTCTAATCTCCCGTTCGAATTGTTCATGAATAGTGGGTAGCCGCAGGCCAATTCGAATTTTCGATTAAATAGTTCTAATCTGGACCGAAAGTGGACAATGGTCCCGTCTTGTTCTGAAACTTTCACTAAGTCGGATTTCTAATACCTGTTTCTTTGATGAGTCTGAATAGTTATCTACCACCACTACTTTGTCCATTGCTCACAATCATTACGTAGACTTTTTGTCAATCCACGTCTAAACTGTCTTCGCTACTGATCAGGTTCGGGACCTGACAAGATTAGTTTCTGAGCGTCTGTCCATTCATGAAGTGTCACAAAAGTAGACTGGTGTTTCTTGACCACTTGGTTTAAGTTGCTGATAGATCTCATTATTGTTGGGACATCATGCTAAGCCACCTAGGTGTAGACACCACTTTCATGATTGACGAACCACCTTTGTAGTTGTATCTGAAACACTCTTGACATCTTGCCATTGACATGACCTATAGTGTCTTCTTGCTGTAGCTGTTCTGGGTCCAGTAAGATCCAGGTAAACGTGCGATCGCACTGAGAAATGATTCGAGTCTAAACATGATCTTCAGAATGGGAAACGGATTTCGGTCGAGTCTCTGCAATGACAGCTGATGAAGATATTGTTCATTTGTATCCATAGTAGTTTGGGTTGACATTAGTGATGACCATGTCAATGACTATGCTGAAAGTTGGTTCTTTCCAAAAAATCTTTGAGCATAGTTATAGCAGACGGTTACCGATTTGTTCATTAGATATATAGGCTAAAACAGTCTTCTTTATAAGATCAAACTAAATTACAATACACCTAAAATTCAATCCACGTTGACCAGTCACAATAAGCATAATACCTGTAACGAATATGAGTCAATCTATGTTACTACATAATATCATTATAATGAGACGGAATGAAAGAGATATTCCTGTCTTACTATTAACGTAGTAGTAGTAGTAGTATTTAATCACATTTTGTTTTGACTCACACGATATTTCTGTTTGAAGTGTAACGTGAAATAATTTGACTACAGTAAATCTTAGATATTAGTATTTCTGTCTATTTAGTAGGAAAAACAAACAACAAAACAAAACAGTTTACATATATGATAACCGTATTATATTTAATTAACCAATGAGCATTTTTAATAACATATGACATCGTAAAATGGTACCATTTATTTGTATGAAATATTTACAAGCTCTACAAAAAAATGAATTCATACACAATTTTATATGAATAGAAATCTGTATAGTAGTATATGTACAAAGGTATATTAATAATAATAAGTGAATTAGTTCAGATGTTAATGAGATTGAGCGCTAAGTGAAGATATATCACCTTTTAAGACAGCTTTTAAAGCAGCCAAAGGATCTGCACTAATTGTTGAGTTGGACAAAATTGATTCAGTTTTCAACGACATATTAAATTCACATTCAGGTTCCGTATTCGACGATAACATCTCTGATTCACATTGTTGTGGAGAGGTAGAAGGTGAAAGACCAGGAATAACCGTATTCGTTGAAAAATCATCACAAGTAAATGCATTTTCATCCACGGCCTCTTCCTTAACACCTTCAGGTGAGGAAGTTGATTCTTTATTATTTTCAGTAGGGTCAGGTGAAGGAAATTTCTTTTCCTAGAATAAATTCGAATATGAATTGTGTAAAGCAAATAGTAATGAACAAAATATCTAATGTACAACCAAATAGCAAAATTAACATTGATCCAAGAGCTTAAGAACGCCTTAGTGTACAACATTTTGGGGGAAGATATCAAGTTAGTCATCCCATATGTTTTACGTGAATTGACCCAGATGTGTCGGCTTTGTACCTTTTAAAACTTACCGTCGGCGACTGGGACCCGCGGGGCAAGGCGGCATACGGTATTTTTAGACGCAACCTTCTCTGATCCTTTCCTTTCGTTACGAGGATGTAGTATCGCTGGAGACGTTAGTTTTTTGGGGGAATACTTTACTACCACAACACCTAAGTACAGTTTCCAGCACAACTTTGTTCTCGGACTTTGAGTTTGGCACTTTTAGTCTTACTGCTCTCTAACCATGTTCTACGTATTAGCACCTAAATAACAAGTTTCAGCCAATATAGCTTGATTAGATCTTTAAGATATTCCAATCCGACTACCAAGTCACGGTATCAGATGCGGCCGGGAATCTGTTACTAAGTGAATGTATACTCCGAACTTGCTACACTGTTTGTTCACTACAGGATTTTAAAAATCGAAGCATCAGTTAGGGAATTCAGTGGTTAATGTATGAAAATGAAATATTATTAACTAGGGTTTATCAGACATTAGAAATCAGGCGTTCCAGAATTCATAGTAATTTAATTTAAATTTACCATTCATTTAAGATTGAGTGTACAATTACTTTTTCCAGATGCCTTTATACAAGTTAATACAAGAAAAGAAATCGACTTGCGATAAATTCAACTTACATCCTTAATTGAGAATTCTTTTCCTGCATCTTCTTGACAAATAGGATGATATACCTTGTCATCAACTCGAATAGCATCTTTTAGCATCCATTCTTCTTCTTCATGATCCCAAACTACTTCAAAACTTTCGTAACACACAGCACATACCTTGAATAACAAAACATATTGATAATAATTATATGTCGAAATTATATTTGAAATAATCTCAGCGATTAAAATTTAAGTAATTCCAACGTTTCGTCTAGCTAACTTGTCTGGACTTTTTCAGGGTAATAATCAAAATATATTGATAATAAATTGTGAATGAAGCACTTCAAAGATATAAAGTGAACAACTTAGGGAGAAATCTAAAACAAAAACCGACTGAAGAACGTTTGGTTTCTCGAAATGATTCTTTGGAAAAAACACCTACGATAGAGGAGCGCAATTTTTGCACACCAAATCCACAAATATAAATATATGACTGTACGATTACACAGCTTTAGCGCATGAAGTTGTCGAGGATTTTTTTCAGTAAACTACCTTTTCTTCCTCAAATGGATGAAAAGAAGAATTTCAGTTTCAACTGAGAATAATTACATGTCGCGTAACCTTTAGGTAGATAGAACATAATTTTGTGCAATAGTTCAGTGGTTAAATATGTCAAAGTTTGATAAATAGAGAGGATAAGCAGAAATAATGTACAAAAACGGATAAGTAAACAAAAAATGGAATAATTTGTAATATAGAAGACTAATAAAGCTTTGAAATGAGCTCTAAACGCGAACATGTACCGTATCGTAGACTAACTACGCTAAAGTTTAGTTCAACGACAAAAATCAAGTCAATGTTCAGATAGATTGCTAGGAAGCCACTATGACACTATCAAGCCCAATTCAGCATTACATTACTGTTTGTATCTCATTGAGTTTAGTAAGGTCGACATGAAAACTATTGTTAGCATAATCAATTATAAAATAAAAGTATGTGAAAGTACTTTAAAGTTGATTTAGGTAGTGATAGCATTTTTACCGGTTGCAATACCATTAAAGCATAACAGTAAATTTGCTCTCTGAGAATGAAATATATATGTCAGTGTCAAAAGTTTCCATTAAACATAAACTCGAAACTAGACTTAAAAATTGCCATGTTCATTTCGCGCTATGTTTCTTACATTTAAATCTAGGATGAATGATTACTGAACTGACGACAATAGAGCTATCTTATTGTATATGGTAGGCCATTAATTGTCTTCTAGATAACATATTGTCGACCGCTCAACTACGAATCATTCCCAATCGTCTGAAGTTATGTTTAAATGTTAGGTAATTATCATTAAATTTAAAACAATTAGTCCCTTTGATAAATTTCGATAATGCAATGAGAAGACGTAGTTTATCAGAATTATGTGATATATTTGCGCAATACATTTCGAACAATCTGATCACACATATACTTGTTAAGAACATTCATATATAAATGTTCTTAACAAGTATATGTGTGATCAGATTGTTCGAAATGTATTGCGCAAATATATCACATAATTCTGATAAACTACGTCTTCTCATTGCATTATCGAAATTATCATTGAAGTTTTAAACGGTTGTTTAGATACTTAATTAATGTTAATATGGTCACAGTTAACATTTATTTATTCATTCCCTTTACTTCCGTTTCTAAAATTGGTCAAATCTAATCAGTGCATATACATCGCTGCTGCGCTCGACCAGAACAAATGTAACAGATATTTACTATACGTATACACAAATATCTATCAATAAGAACGATTAGTATTTTTCAAAAAAGCAGTGTACACTTATAGTAAAAAACAAATTGTGGAACAGTAATGAATCAAAAAAATCTGGATTACGTATCAACCAAGCAAAAGTTAACGAAAAACATTATTAGACTTTACAACTGCTTTGAAGCACCCGATGAAGTGGAGTTAACAGTTCCCAGTAATAAATTTGACATAAACAACCGATAACCTTGACATTACCAACAAAACAGTACTATTGAATTTTTCAAAGAATATATATGTATATATATAACTCTCAGATGGTGTTCACGACAATACAAGACTACTGATACAGTAAAGTATTAAGTCACAATCTGCTAGTCGGAATTAAGTTCATCTGATGTATTGCAACGTGTAATCCAGAAGTCTTCTAAAGTTTAAAGAAAATATACTCAAAGAATGCGTAATCAAAATGCTCCATACTTTGAGCTAACGGTTCTAAAAGTAAAATATTTACACGACATTTGCATGATGGCTTACATAAGAAGTAGTTCCGACCTGAAAATTGTGAATTAATTATGAACGAACGATCTCATACATTCTTCATCACTTTACAACATAGAACAAATACACATGGACCCATATTGCTATCATCTAAAATGACTGACACCGTTATATTACCAGTTGGTTTTTCAACATTTATGTACTAAAAAAAATCAGGACCAACACTTTTATTAGAAATCCTAACATTATGTGTATGAGGTTCACGAAATCTAAACTGGCTTTGATTCTACTTCCGAATTCCTGACTAATTGCTAACCAGTGAGTGATATCACGTTAACAGTGGCATTTCAATTTCCTTCAATTGGATAGAAATTGAGAAAGCTTACATACGATCAAGCTATTTGATAATGAAGTACGTTAATTACACCGGATCTATTTGCTTTGGAAAGGGCAGTTACCTCTTTAAAACGCTTGATTCATCAAGCAATGTCTATTTTCTATAGTATGACGAAAAAATGTACAACACATAAGACAGTCAGGATTCCAGTACTTTGATCCATATGAAGTTATCAATTATCTTTATCTAGTAGTATTACCAAGCATCATTTCATTTGATTCGATTAATTCTGGACTCTATATGAGGACATCCATTTTACTTTCATGAACCAACACTTCTTACAGAACCACGTACACCCTCCATTAGGGTGGGTCAACTAAATTAGTCCATTATAATTCTTGGAGCTTGTCGAAAATAAGTCTAAAACCAACACGCCATAACCAAAGTGAAGACACTGATACTCATGCACTTATTTTAACCTCTTTCCGTTTCCTAGTTTTCAGGAAAATGTTATCACAGGAATCTATGTGGAGAACTAGTATTCTATAAAACTGCGCTTAGTTAGAATGAACCATTTAGATATACTTCTTATATTTATTGAGGGATTGAATGATGTGCAGTTTAAATACAATTTCTCAAAACCGATTGTTTTAAGTGCAGTTAATGTCAACAGACTATATACTAAATGATGGTCTGATTGTTACTGTATGTGAGCGAAGCTGATTCTAATTAGAACAGGGTTATCGTAAGCAAATAGCTATACAAGGCACGAATTGTCTAAATTGTTCCGGGTGTTCACAAACACAGTTACGAATAACATAAAACTGTCAAGACGCGCATTTATATATATATATATATATATATATATATATATATATATATATATATATATGGTAGAGACAGAGAGGAAGGGGGAAGGAGACGAGATTCAGGTGAGGTTGGGTTAAATATTCTACATACCTCGTTTGATAATAGAGAAGTTGTGAGCATCCACCACCACGCTTATTCTGGTCGTCTTACCAGCCCAGGTGTAGTGGTATTTGAAGTTCGGATGGAAACATGTGTTTGTGTTTCACTTATCTTCACTATCTGGACCTAAAGAGACGTCTATCTATTTAAAAACCAATTAAAATGCTGAGTAGTCCGCAGAATTGCTTTACGATGTAAATCATGGTGAAAGAGGGACCCCAAATGCCCTGGTACGGCCGAGAGTGGGGAGAGTCCGTACTCCCTCTCGAAATGCTCTCACATGGCCACGCGTATAATAACCTCTGTCAGGGAAGCTCTAATCACTGCCTTCTCGTGGCGAGGGTGTTGTTTACGAAATTGAGAGGACGAAAAGCGAATGTCCGACGCTTTAATCGGGTTGGTGGACACGGAGTCCACCTAGGGGGGTTGGAAAACCCTGATTCCAAACCAATAATGCACATGGGCTCCAGTATCTTGAAGGAACAAATGGTGTACGAACCAATCGTTGGTCACCGGCTAACATGGGACTGCATTTCCTTACGATGCTCCATTGCCTTGTGGATCAGACCTTCAGGTCGAAGCCTCCGGGTGTGGTCTCCTAAGAAAACCACCCATTTCGGTGTGGGCACCCGGGCAGTATCACAGCCCTCACACATATCAAATGAGATTTGTGTGGCGCATATGTATCTGGTGCCTCCTTGTACCAATATCTGTGTTAAAATAAATAAATGAATAAAACATCGTGAAAGACAGGGGGCGTGTCGCTAATATTCGGTCCTGTATGCTTTCAAAGAAGTGGTCACGTATTTTGGGATTGATATGACAGTAAAACTGATCATATAAGTAAAACACTAAATGAAGAGGATAGTTAACCTTCACTGATGGTCGTTATATGTTATGGGTACCTGACTATCGTCTACACTTACATATATCGTTCAAGATTAAAATCCGGTTAGAAAATACTCGGGTGGCGAGAAATACCATTGAGGTTATCGGTGATATCCCATTAGTTAAGGTAATTATTGATGAGCCGAATACATTTCTTGACAGGAAATAATTAGGAAGTGTAGACTAGGGATAGAGCTTATTCTGTCGTTTATTACTACTGATCTCAACGATTCAATGATTGTATCTGTACAGGAAACGATTACTCAGTCCCCTAAATCCTCCTAAAGCAATTGCAAATGCGTGACGACTTTATTCTTTTTTGGCTTACGTCGAATCACACGCTCTGAGATATGTATATTAATATTCTTCAACTCATAATTGATCATCACTACACGTAATTATCTCTTTTGAAGTCACTGGCAATACATTATAGTCACTTATTTAACTCTGATAACTTGCATTTCGTAAACGAAGTCAGAGGTTGCAATAAATTGCGCTAACCATATCCACTGGTATCCACTAGAGCTGTTCAAACCTTTTACTTTTAATCAACATACTCTTAGTTACCGTATTCTGCATTAAGGTTTTTGGAAATCGTTTTCTTGAATTAAAACTCCCTAGTAGACCTGAAGTGCTTAAATCACATAAATCCGTCTCGCGATGTCGAATAAACACAGTGTTACAAGCTCTTTGAATAATAACACTAAAACATGTCAGATGCAATTCTCTATCCCCTCTTAAGTGAGACATGTTACAATCCGACTGGTACTAAAAAAGACAGTAAATCAGTAGACCGTATTGACTAAGTGGATTGTTGTGATAGTTTCCTTAGTTCTCGTGATTTAGTAACCAATTTTATTCTTTTCTCTACCAATTATTTATTTCAAGATTTCACTATCAGCCGTATATTATATTTCTACTCCTGTGAACTTGTTCATGTAGCAGCAAGTATAGCAATCTTAACTAATAAATATTTATTCAAGATCTCACGTAGTGTATCTGTCTGTAATATGAATTCCTGGAATTCTTTATCTTGTTTGTTAGAAAGATGAGACTATTTGAATTAGAGCACCAAATCGTATCAATTCGATACGAACACCAAAACCTAAATAATATCCTTCTGGGTTTACAAAAACAGCCTTAGAAGATTTACCAAGGTAAACTATGTTCATTCCAAATCACAAACGAGGTGAATCCAAGCGACGTCGACGGATAAGCAAAGTTGTACACTTTTTGCTAGTAGTTTAGTCAAAGATATGGGCCAGTATTTAAAGAGTTCAAGGAGTTATTGGCTTTAACTCAATTGTATCCATCTATTTCCAACATCAAGTTATGTAATTATCCCCTACAACACATTATGATTACAGGTTAGTACATCAAACCTATATGGTACCGCCTATGAGCATTATTTTGGCTCTAAAAAGAGCTAACAAAACGATCGCTAGCTTTTGGTTATCCAAATTTAAAATGAATCTCTGTATTAGTTACAGCGATCGCAATGTAAACTGGGCACTAATACATTTCCAAAAAATAACTTAAAACATCAGAAAATTTTGAGTAATACATTTAAAACTAGCATGTGAGATAAATAATCCTAGTCACTAAAAGCGCATTACTAACATGTTAATCATAGGAAGCAGAAATATATAACTACTGGATTCTATGTAATGTGATTTGGTTTGTCAACTAAGTCTATTGACCTTGTTTGCAAAGACGAGTGTTATCAACCAAAATGGCTGGTATACAAAGTACTCTTGAGCATTTCTTCAGTTCCTAAATAAAATTTGCGAAATACTGAAGAAAGGGTTAAAGGAAATGGAGTCATAAAGCCACACCCCTCCCCATAATTTATATCTGGATAAACTTCCAAAGTACATACCGCAAGCGTAATGATTTCTTGGTGCCATATTGGACCAGGCTATCGCCTGGTCTGCTAAGAATAAAAATATAAATCACCACAAAAAGTTTCTGAAACGAAATTTGTCAGCTGCACACACAGGAAAGATCGAAGTCATTTCCACTCGCATTTATAAACCAAACCTCACTGCTTGTCCAAGTTTTCTTTTTTAGGGAAGATAACAATTAGGATGAAAGAACGTCTTCTAATGGCAGCCTTCTTGAGAGAAAACTAACATTAACAGAAATTGTTTACGCTTATCGCGGACTTCACAGCAGTGACAACCTACCGTTCCATACACATATATGAACCAAGGAGTTAATACATACCGATTGACACATAGATAAACGCAGTTACCATATTATCCGCTATTTATACAACTAGCTACGGAAATGAACAATTTATCAACTCCAAAACTAAGCGAAGCTAATTAAAATAGTGTAGTTACGACTTTTAAGATCAATTTAAAAACTGAGAAATACAATTACATTCCAACCAAGCATCTACAAACGACAATAAATTAGAACGCTGGGTATCGCAATTTACAAAACGCATGAGAAGCTTAAAACAACCAATAAATTTGTAAACGGTAAAATGTAAACCACCAGAGTATCAAGTTACTTGAAGGTAAGAATCGCGTTTCGTGGCCAGCAATTTAAAATGTGTTGGTTCTAGATACCGTTGGGTACGATAAACATAGAACTACTGATTACCCATTGATTAACCGTATTTCAAGAGATACCATTGAATCATTCTAGAGAATACTTAGAGCTGAACCCTAGATTTCGACTGAGTGTAACTGTTAGTATTTTATAATATATAATCTGCCTTATTAGAAAGCGATAGAAGTCTTGGTACTAAAAATTTTCCAACACCGTTACCCGGGAATATAATTTATTTAGAACTATTACGACAGTCTTAAGAATTGTTAAACAAATAACAGTTCAGTTGTATACAACGCGATACTCTTAGAACATAGGAATGCTGAGCAGAAAGTAATCTTTTTGTAAAATCTATAGTTATCCAGAGGTTTCGATAGGATTACCAGGGTCAAATGTATTCTATTAGGTTTTGGGTAATTTAGGGAGTACTATTTATAAAACTGTTAAGTATGAGAAAACCTCACAGATAACCTAGTGACATTTACGAGATATCAGAATTACGATAAGGTCTAAATGCGCACTTCGTGGCAGTCTGAAATTCATTTCATCAATAGTACGTTTCTGGTACTATTAAAAGCAATAAGATTTCAGTGCACGAGCGAAAAAAGTAGTGAGATCCTAGGATGGTATTCTTCACGATTATTTTACTTATCTGTATTCAACGAGAAGCTGATAATACTCGAATCCTTTTTCTGGTTCATACTTGCATATATTTCTTTACGGCTCTACAACGCATTCTGGCACTTATCCAAGTAGTTACTACTTTGTCAAGTTCTATAGAGTCTCTATTGTCTAGTGGGATTCCATAAAGGCAGAAATGTTATCCAGAGTGTGACCTGTGAGAAGTTAAAAAGTGAAAACGAAAGTGATAACTGAAAGTGACTTACATTTTTCGATGGATCCGCGAATGCTGTGCATTTGTACTCTTGTAAATCGTGGATCGGACTACCAGGCTCGAATTGAGGGGCGCCCTCTCGTGTCATTTCACTAATTAACCAATACTGTAATGGTTGATAGAAGTTACGACTGCGTCGTTCTTGTCCATAACTTGAATTCTTCATATAATGGTAATCAAGGTGCTTTGCAAACTCCGGTGAAAGGTCACTTTGGAAACGCAGACCACACTGACCACATTGGTGACCATTATATAATTCGTCAATCTCAACAGCGAATGGATTCTTAAAACGCTCCCAGCTGTAGCTCCCTAGCTCAGGAGGTTCTGGTTTCTTTTCATGTTCTGTACTGGGCACTATACCAGCTTTAACCAACTTTTTGAATAACTCATGCACATCTATGTTAAGCGGAGTACTTGTATTCGATGAGCTCTCATCTTTGTTTGGTATAAGTTTTTCGCTCTTACTACTGATATCAGGGTTCGCAAACTCTGGTAATTTTTGTCCATTACTTTGGTTACTGCTATTTGGAGCATCTGTAGGATGCATAGGTGACGGTCGCTTTCCATTGCCTACAGGTCTGTTTACAAAAGAAGCATGGTTTCTTGAACTATATCCATGTTCGGCGAGGCGTGCAAGTTCCTTGATAGGGTTGAGTGGTGCCATAAACAGATTTTTAGGTGAACCAAACAAACCTTGACCTGCCCACTTGAGTAGACGAGGAGGAATAGGTGGTAAGACATTAACATTCCTTGGCACGTTTCCAACAAATTTTACACCGACTGAATGAAGACCGACATTTATAAAAGTTAGGTGGGATGTTGTAGGGACAGTGTGTGGACGACCATCGATAACAAGTTCATGACCCGGACCACCTAGGTATGCCACATAGAATCTAGGTCCAATGGAAACACGAGTAAAACCTGTGCCAGGAATGTTGAAACAATGACCATCAATAACAATAGTAGCAAACTCACACCGGAATCGTACAGCATGTATGCGATCCCCAATTGCTATTAATGGTTGAACTCTATCTAATAACAGTGTGAACTGTTGACCATCAATAGTTATCCGTCTTGGTGGCTTGGGATGAGTTACAAGACTAAGCATTCGTGGATCGACGCCAATATTAACCATGTCTGGAAATCCATTGATCTCAACACTCCATACAGGACCACGAATCGGTGGCCCACGGATAGGTGGGATTGCAGGTGGCTGGAAGGATGAATTTAACTGTGGTCTATCTCGGGGGAAATCTGCAATGCGAGGTGGTGGATGATGTTCCTTCACTGGGACGAAATTATCTACTTTGGAGTATCGAGGTGGAATATTTTCAGATTTTAAAATCTCAGGACGTAATTTTATGTCTGGATTACAATTACCAAAACTTTTTCCAGACTGTACTTCACTCGGTGGAAGGCGTTCTTCTGTGTCGTACCTGGACACAGGAGGTATTGATGTTACGGCGTCAGGTTTATTAATAGCTAACACATCTAATGGTCCTTTCGATATCTTCTCAGAAATACTGAAACTTGGAGAACAGGCAAGTGGAGGGTCTGACGGAGCAAAACGCATATCTATGTCTTTCGTTTCTCGTCGAGAACAGACTTCACTATGCTTTCCAATGTAATCTGACCAACCTGATGATCTAGCGGGAGAAGGTGGTACTGTGTTTTGTGAACGCATATCACAGTCCTCACCACCGAACAACATAACCTTTCTAGATAACTCACTAGCATCCGCCTGTTTACCTTGTTTTCGAGCAACTGACTCCATATTTTGATCTCCTGAACGATCGATAAGGTACTCTTCAGATGAATGAGATTCTTGGGGTGACTTTCGTTTCCGATTAAGACGCGGATCACGTGAAGCTGAGATGACGGTTTTCGTTGTCAAAGAAGTTTCCCTCGCTTCCTGCTTTACACTAACTACCACAGGTTCCGTTTTAGTTTGTATTTTTGGGACATTTGGTAAAGATCTAAACGCAGCTTTCGCTTCAGGAGCGCTGGCTAAAAGAGGCCAAGCTGGATCATGCTCACGCACTCGAATATCCAATTCATACATCCTAGAATTTGGAAATATATCTTTCCATGTTGTCCTCAAATTGTACAGTTTCAACCGCCCCTTCTCATCTCGTATCTAAATAGAGTATTAAGACAATTTCCGCGTAGTAACTTACCGATTGGAAAGAATGCACAAAGGCATCAACAATATCCACGGTATACAACTTTCTGTAGGGTGTACCTACGTTTTTAACTATTGAGTCGATTACGTACAAGCCAAGTAGCTTCAATCCTGCCGGTATCTGTAATAAAAGGTTTGATAACTGTATTCCAAAAACAACTCGTTTTTCGTGAAACCTACAACGCTACCTAATTAATATGCGTCTCACGAGGTTCTACACGACTATCAATAGACAAATCGCATACGAAGGCTAGATTAAGCGCTTAAGCAATTAGTTATCGCTTCGCCCAAACCCAGCACCCATATGATACAAAAAATTCAAAACTGACAAAAACATTTATTGTTCTTTTTTTCATCTGTACAGTTGTGCACAGGACATAACAAGTAGAAGATACTAAATAACTCACCATTTGAACATGCTTAAGGGTAAGATCCACAATGCTCTGAGCAACCCCAATGGTATCTTTATGATCGCGCGCAACGATAGTCAAAGCATTTATTTTGTATTTATCATTGTCTTTGAGATTCTCCAAATCCTTCTTGAAGGTTGATAAAAGATCGCTAGCCGACGCCATTAGGGAGCCACACGTCGAGCCAGTAGCGAAGAAAACGAAACAACCTGGGGGAGCGCTTATTGATGTCAAGGTCAGATTAAGAAATTTAAACAAAATGCTAGATGTAAAATCGATATGAAAGACAAATTAGTTCTATTTTGTGAACCGCCATGAGTAGTCAACGATTGTCTTTGAGATCGAACTTGGATAGACAAAAACACTGTTATGGAAAAATGAATCTTTGAAAGTTTACTGAAGATCAAGTTTTTCAGGTAAAAAGATTATGAGAAATCATTGAAAAAGGTTAGCAGGTAACGTTACAGATCATGTGTTGAAATTAGGCCTGAGATTCTGCAGAATTTCAAATTTTAAAATTCGTTCGTCACATGTTCGTTTTACATCCCCGAAAATGGGTCAAATTTTCCCCAAAATTGGGAGCTTGGGTCGTTATCGGTTAGCCTAATGGTCTACAAGAAGCACAAAGAAAAATAGTAAAGACTAATGAGTGGATGTAGAAAAATCCATTTTAATCAACAACATGCTATCTTGAGCTCTACACCATCGTCTTGTAACATTCAAGATCAGCTCACAATAAAGTTCAAACATGAGAATACGGGCGATATCTCAAAGAAAAACCCACACACCACGAGTTCACCAAACAAACTTTCCTGGGCAGAAGTAACAAACCGTTCGTTTCTTGGGGTCCACCTTTGCTATCAAAAGAGCGGCATCAGTTATTAAGATGTATTTCTTCTATATATGAAGAAAAGAATACATTTAGTTATTGAAACCCTTATTCTTAGAACCAGCCACTGAAGCTGCTGGATGACTCAGTATTTAATTTACTTGTTAGCCCTACACTAAGATCCATTTGCATCGATAGTGTACGAAGTGAATTAAACAGCGTGTACAGGAAATTAGACAATACGCAATCTGAAGTGAAGTCATTTGCAGACTCCTCATCAAGACATGATGACCTCAAGCAAGAAATGAGGGCCTGGTCATCCTTTATGTTACCGCTGTTGAAGAACGTAGTTCCTGTGGACCTTGAAGTCATTATCAAAGCAGCAACTTTGGCCGATTTTATCGTTGGCGAATTTGCAAAGCGAATAGTCCGTAATAATAACACGATTATCTATAGTTACCTGACAAAATGACGCTCAAATTCGTGAAAGATAGTCCATGCCTATGTATTCACCTTGATAAAGAGCACCAGAATTTCTTGTACCCTAACTGCTTTTGATTCGATTCACATTTATTAGCTGAAAAACGGAATGAATCCGAATGGTTAATTTGCACACTTACGAAGCTTAGGAGTGCTTGTGTAGTCGTAGATAAGACCACTTATATGGATCAAGAAAATATACCTCCTTTACATGCCTAAAACTGATACATTTATAAAATCCTTTAAGTTTACAAAGATCCGCGTGGAAGGCAAGATTTCATCCGTCTTCTACAAATATGGTGGGCTATACATATCACTGCTTCTTCTAAAGATGTTTACTCACTTTCTCTGAAAACAGGCACTTGCCCTTAATGTTGAAAAACCTCACATATCGTACCATCTTACAAATCTGCAGATTGGAATGACATTAACAATTATGGGCTCATGTATTCCACTTCAGTTATCTGGAAGATTATGGAAAAAACTGTTAGCGGCGTACTCTCCAGCTATTTATTCACTGAAAAATTTATTGATGATTCTAAACACGGATTTCTTAAAGATCGATCTTGTTTGACCTTCCTCTTTCAATTCTTTAATTTAGTTTTTACTCATTTTAACCAAGGTTATCTAGTCCAAGTGCTATATGTTGACAATTCTAAATCTTTAGACATAGCTAACGATAAGCTTCTTATAGGCGAATTCCCATCTTACGGGATTGAAAACAATCTGCTTGTTTGGTTTAATTCTTTCTTCGGCCACCGACACCAAATGGTCAAATGTGTAGTAATAGGTAGTGTTTTTAATCGTTTGCTCCTTCTAGCTTATATCAATTATATTTGCGGTTGCTTTCTTATGATTGAGCCTAATCTATATGCAGATGATCGTAAAATAGTTTATTCATATCTTCATGATTAACTGAACATTACACGAAATTGAATCAGTATGGATCTCGACAAGGTAACCAGGTTGTGTGTGCCATAGCAGTTGGAGTCTAACGCGGCTAAATATGGGTGGATGCACCTCAGAAATATATCGCTCAACTAAGGTCTTACCATAAACGGCGAAGAGTCATCTAGGTTACAAACAGTAGTAGACTTAAGACGTAGGTACTCCTACAATCTATCTTTCACAGAACAGGCAACGAAACAGAACTCCTAGTCCCAACGTCTTGTTGGTTGCTTAACTCATAACCTTGACAACAACGAGTCACTTATTTTGATGTATAGAGTATGTGTTTGGTCACTCCTGTAATACTGAACGTTTATTTTTAATAGTGTTCTTATTAAGGGTATATTAAGGCTAGAACCCATTCAGAAACGATTTACACTTATCATTCTTTGGACTGATTGTACCTTAAATTGTAAGTTCAGATGTAACAGGATTGCACTCAACCCTTTGTGGAAGACGAGACTCAAACTAAACCTAGTATTCTTCAAAATGCTTAATAAACTATCCTTTACACCCGGTCAAGGAATTCAGTATGCGTAAATTTCTAATCATAGCATCCGTAACTATTTGTTATTGATGAAACAAACGTATTCTGAATTTTCCAGACCCTAGAATAATTTACAGAAATCTTTCCTGGATATGAAATCACTCCTATCTCTGTTTGCCGCATCAGTTCTCACCTATCCTCTGAAAATGCTTTAGATGTACTTACACCTATGAGGATGTAGAATTACGTTCTTCTTCGTTATTAATACTGTTTCAATAATAGACCTAATCCTAGAGTTGTAGATGTGTCATAACGTGACTGCCTAATCTATAATGTCTTACGTGGGAATCACATCATTGTCTACTCATCGTGTCGTAACAATTAACAATATGATACTGAGTACTTTTGAAGAACACATTTAAACTGGAGATAAGATAATATATCTAATGTGGATAAATACAAGTTGTACAGAATGACCACGTCTGTGAGGCTGAGCCATGCCACCCGACTGAAGTCATGGATGTTTCCGAGTTCTCCATTGTTAACCTTCTCTCGTGCCAACTGTTGAATATAAATATTTTCAGCAATTATATGCCCAGCTTCAAAGGACGTGTGGTTAGTGTCCAATGCCACCACAAGTGTTTCTTATTCCACAAGTGAGATTACAGACATTTATAATGCTGAACTCACTAAGTAAACTTATCGACCTGTTGTTGGTTTGCACTTCGTCCCTAACAATCTTAACCTACCTGAATACTATCAAACACGAAATGTAGGTCATGAAATAACTTGATATACTTATCAGGGTAGACCTGACTAATCTATCATAGTAAATAATGCCTTCTATGTTCCATGGTCTCTGCCTTTGTCTTATATTCTTTACCTGTAGATTGTTATATTCGATTCGTTATGGCGCAGGAAATGACCTTAAACGCACCATTCATATATCAACAGTATCTGAACTTGAAAAAATGAAACATCCTGGCTGATTCCTTTCATTGCTAACATATGTGATGAATGTGCTAGAGAAAAATATTATCAAACTAAAAAAACATTAAAAAGTCTTAACTAACATACTTGGTTTATACATATGATATTACCATGTATATTAAATACTTAATGCCTGTAGAGTGGCACGAGTTCTGAAATGTTGAATTCACAATGCATGTCATACTATAGGCAAAGATGGACAGTGTCTAGCAGTGGGGAAAAAGACGCGCGTTTCGTCCTCTTTGTGACTCGTCAGCTGGATGTTTATGCATCCCAGGTTAGATGTTCACTCTAAGACCAGAGCCAAATACCATTCTCTACAAACGCCATCGCGTTATCCATCTAGCTGCAGAGTGCTGATAGCCACAAGCTTGTGCAATGGGGTGAAGATACAAGTAAAACAACACCAAGTGAATTTATATAATATTATATTTGATTATAACTCCGCCTGAAGTCCCTCCGGGGGCTACTGCCGGTCCCAAGCCCGGATAAAGGAGGAGGGTTGGGCATGGGGTTAGCGTCCCCATCCCGTAGAAAAATAACTCGCTGAAAAAACGCTGACCAGAAAAAATTATTCCAACCTTTTAAACTCTGCCCTGGGAGTCAGAAGAACTATGACGCCTCATGATGAAGGCCGAGTTCTTTTAGAAGTCAATGTGGGAGACCGGGAGAGTCTTCTAAATTGCTGCAGAAATGAGGAGATGCAACCTAGAGGTACTTGGGATCAGTGAAACACATTGGACGCAAGTTGGACAACAACGACTAACTACAGGAGAGCTCCTGTTATACTCCGGCCATGGAGAAGAAAATGCACCACATACACGAGGAGTTGCATTGATGCTGTCCAAACAAGCGCAAAATGCGCTTATAGGATGGGAATCTCATGGACCAAGGATCATCAAAGCCTCCTTCAAAACAAAGAAAGAGGGCATTTCAATCAACGTCATCAAATGCTATGAGCCTACCAACGACTACAATGAAGACACTAAAGATCAATTCTACAATAGGCTGCAGTCAATCATCGAGAAGTGCCCAACAAAGGACCTGACCATTCTGATGGGAGATTTCAATGCCAAGGTTGTAACGGACAACACTAGATATGAAGACATCATGAGACGACACGGACTGGGAGAAAGGGACGAAAATGGTGATAGATTTGCAAACCTATGTGCCTTCAATAAACTGGTCATAGGCGGCACCATATTCCCACATAAACGCATACACAAAACCACATGGACTTCACCGGATCACACCACGCAAAACCAAATCGACCATATTTGCATCAACAAAACGTTCAGGAGGATTATAGAGGACGTGAGAACCAAAAGAGGAGCTGATATAGCATCAGAACATCACTTGCTGGTCGCCAAGATGAAATTGAAACTCAAGAAGCACTGGACAACGGGGCGGACAATATCACAAAAGTTCAATACGGCCTTTCTTCAGGATACTAACAAACTCAACAAATTCAAGAT